ACAACGTTTCTATGGTTAACATTTTCAATTATGCAATTATTCTTATCAAACTCAACTCTAAAACCTTTATCACATAATTAACTAATGCTAAGTAAATCATGTTTTAAACCATAAACTAAAAGTACATTTTTTATCAAAGTACAACCGTCATTGAAGAGTGTTTCCTCCTATTTTCTTTCTTTTCTATAGTACCCTTACCAATTATTTTATCCTTCTTGTTATCACGAAAGGTTACTAAGTCACCATTCTTCTGGAAAAGATTCACATTAATTTTCTGTCATGTGGGTTGAGCAGCCACTATCCATGAAAGTTGGAGAGAAGGAGGCTTTAGAAAATTGTGGATCCAATAATTTTGAAACTACCTGTTTTTTAAAAAATTGGGAAGTTGGTGAGTTTAAATGGAGAACAGAAATGTCAAAAAGTAGAAATTAATATTAACCCGAAGAGATATGGGAGTGGAGATTAAAAATAAATAAAAAGAAACTTTTCTAAATTTATTTTTATATTTTAAAAAAAATATAATAATATAATATAAAAATATTAAAAATCAGTAAGTGTCAAATCATCCATTCTAAAATTTATTATAAATATAATAATATAATAATAATAAAAAGTAATGTGAGTAACCATTAAATTAAAATTTTAAAATTTATTATAATACGATAATAATAAAAAGTAACGTGAGTAACCGTTAAATTAAAATTTCAAAGTTTATTATAATATAATAATAATAAAAAATACGTGAGTAACCAAAATTTCAAAATATAATAATACAATAATATAATATAGTAATAATATAAATTGATGGGAGTAAGATTCAAATTTATATTAGGTATAAATAATTTTATTTAGAAATATAATATGAAAAAAATTTCATCATAGGTTACTCTTCAAAAAATATTAGTGCTATATTTCGATTAGTCCATCATTTTGATTTAGCTGTTACATCATCACGTCGGATATGTCGTCTCGACTGTAATTTTTTCGTTTTAGCTCTGATTTGAGTGATTGAAAAGTCATTGAAATCGTTATTCCCAACCTTATACTTGTGGATAGTTCAAAATATTGAAAAATTGTTAATAGTTAAAAGTAGGTTTGTTATCATCAAAACATCAATCAATTAATTAATTAAAACGAGATTAAGGGCCAAAAAGCCAACAACGATATGACCACGAAGTGTTTATGATATGATATGATTATGATACGAAATGTGAATGACAGATATCTATATATATTGTGATATAATATGAAATACGTTATGGTACGAGATATGTGATAAATTGACATGTTTATGATATAATATATTGTGATGTGATATGTTATGTTTAGATTGTTTTGTGTGACTGTTGAGGTAATTGTTGTATGAATCGCACGTTATGAAATGTTATGTTAAAAGCATGGAACATTATGTAATGTCTCCTAAATTGTATGTGTATGTTATGAATAATAAGATATCACGACAAATAACATGAAATATAACCCCGTTAGAATTATGCATGATATGAGAACTGAAAAATTAAAAATAATATGATATGAATGAAAAATGATAGCGGTGTTATATTTAACAATGTTGAAAATGGAAAAATATTGGGACCTCATGCATTATGTGTGGCATTAGAGGATACCTCTATTCCATCACGATGGAACAGACGCATACACTAATGGGCAGAAGAACTATCATTATGTTTTACATAATACTGTCGTGATGGTTGCTAATTCTAACGGGTGTTCGACACAAAGAGCTATTAGAGCATGCTTGCCCGACAAGAAAGGGGGTCTAGCGATGTACGAACTGACTAGTGAGTCTATACTCGCAACATGGGTTGTGTGTAGAGTATATGTTACACATCCAAGCTGCCCGTTAGGATAGTTCTCTAGGAAAATAGACTGATATGATAGGTTCTATCATTGCATTAGCATATTTTTTTTGTATTTAACTCCTAATAGTGGAGTCACTTACTTAGTATTTGTTTAGATACTGAAGCCACGTGCTACTTCTATTTCAGGTTAAAGCAAGACATTCCTGTACGGCTGACGTTGACATTATAACTCGAGACCATGACATATGCATCAATCATTGTGATTTTGGATTAACATTTTTGATAATGTGCCTATTTTGGTAAATTTTTATGCTCGATTTTGGGTACTTAGTACCGAACTGCAAAGCCCTACTTTATTTCCCAACTTCCTTCGCTTCCTACTGCCTCTCTTGCTTCTGCAATTACGCTCCTCCTCGCATGTTTCTAATTCTTCAATTCAATCTTCAAACCTAATCATTCTCAATTTTTGCGTCTTCTGTTTATTGATGAACAACTTTTTTGTTTGTTCTTTGCCATTATTGAAACTTCTTATAATTTTCATTTACTGTTGATTGCACACTTGATTCTGTTCACTTCGATCGTCAGATCCGAAGCAAGAACGTGGAGCATTTCTCTGTTTAGCAATCAATGGCACTGGTATGTGATCGATACTTGTATCAGCATTTAAAGAAAAAAAAAACTTTCTACATTTGAACCCTGTTCGGCCGATGAGATATGTTAAGAGTTTTGAGAAATTGGCTGTGTGTATTAATTCTTTTTTAAGGATAAATGTCAATGAATTGCAGTCAAAAGAAGAATTAAAGTTTTCAAGTACGTGTGATTCGGGTTTGATTGCAGGTCTTGCATGCAGGAAAGACGAATAAAAATGGTTTCAAGTCTCTCATTGTTGCACAGTACAATGGAGTCGAAGTGAAATTGGTCCCGGACTTTGAGATGGGCGTTTCAAACAAAACTCCGGAGTTTGTCAAGATGAACCCTCTTGGGAAGGTTGGTTTCTATGTTGTTGGCTGACATATGAATTGTGATAACGAATCTGCTTATTTGTTATAGAAAAATTATACATTATATGAAAAAATTTCTCTCACGTTTTTAGGTGCCTGTTTTGGAAACGCCCGATGGCCCCATATTTGAGAGTAATGCGATAGCTCGCTATGGTAAATGATGTGAACCATTTGCTAAACCTTAGGTTGGTTAAGTGATTGTTTTTAAACTTGTTTGTGTATTTGATGGTGCAGTTGCACGCTTGAAGGCTGATACTACTCTGTGTGGTTCATCTGTTATTGAGTATGTAAGTTGGATTATGCATTCCTTTAGTGGTTAGAATATAATTGAAAAATGTTAAAACGTAAGAGGGTAAACTGAAGCTATTTAAACAATAAGAACCAAATTGAAAAAATACCTGAGCATTATGGACCAAAATATATTCTTTGCCTTGTAAACGTTCTTCATTTTACGACCCCTTAACTATCATGTCGTCTTTTTTAACCATATTTCAGGGGCATATTGAACAATGGATTGATTTTGCATCATTGGAGATAGATTCAAATATGGTGACTTGTTATAGGCCTAGAATGGGGAGAGCTCCTTATCTTCCTCCTGTAAGTAATTTTTGTGGCCAATTGGAAGTCTCCTAATTTATCGGATTCATTTTCAGCTTGTTTTGATGACTAAATTTCTTCGTTTTGGATTATTTGGAGGTCAAGTTCTAGCTTCTATGATTGTAAAAAACTGCATATTCATTGTTTTTACAGTAATTTAGTTATCTCTTGATTATTGCTCATCTTATTTGACTTAACTACATGTTTTTTTCCCCCTAAACTAAGGTCGAGGAAGCTGCAATTGGTGCATTGAAGAGGGCTTTGGGAGCTTTGAATACATACCTTGCTTCAAACACTTACCTAGTTGGTCATTCTGTAACATTGGCTGACATCATCATGACTTGTAACCTGTTTATGGGTTTTACTAAGCTCATGACTAAGAGCTTTACCTCAGACTTCCCACACGTTGAGAGATACTTCTGGACCTTGGTCAATCAGCCAAATATCAAAAGAATTCTGGGTGAGGTCGAGCAGGCAGAGTCAGTTCTACCTATTCAATCTACTAAGCAAACCCCCAAGGATGAGGTAAAGAAAGAACCCAAAAAGGAAGCTGCAAAAGTGAAGCCCAAGGCTGTCGTTGGCGAGGGAGATGATGAAACACCAAAGCCAAAACCCAAGAATCCTCTTGATTTGCTTCCTCCCAGTAAGATGATTCTGGATGAGTGGAAGCGGTTATACTCAAATACCAAAACCAACTTCCGGGAGATCGCAATTAAAGGTACAAAACTTTTTCGGGTGCTTTTATTTCCATCCAATCCATGAATTACTTTTGAAAATGATTGCATCTTTGTTCGATTTGAGCAGGCAGACAAGAGGGGAACCTTGTTATTTGTTGAGTAATGGTTCAAATGGCATTGAAGTGTGCTTCTTTTACGGAAAATGTCCTTTTTTCCTTTCTTTGGGACTAAGTAATCCTTTTATTTATGATCTTTAGAGTGCATTCTTACCTACAGTTACTAGCACATGTTTTTATTTCTTCAAACAAACTTGATAATGTACCCAAACAAAAAATGCATTACCACTCTACTGATGTTCTTGATGAAGGTATTATTTTCCCCGGTTTGCATTTAGTTTAACGACCACATTGTTTTAAACTTGTTGCAGGATTTTGGGAGATGTATGATCCAGAGGGGTATTCTCTTTGGTTCTGTGATTACAAGTACAACGACGAGAATACTGTTTCGTTCGTAACGTTGAACAAGGTTGGCGGATTTCTCCAGCGAATGGATCTTGCTCGGAAGTATGCTTTTGGGAAGATGTTAGTGATTGGATCGGAGGCTCCATTTAAAGTGAAGGGGCTGTGGGTTTTCCGTGGACAAGAGATCCCACAATTTGTGGTGGATGAGTGCTACGACATGGAGCTTTATGAATGGAGAAAGGTTGACATATCAGATGAGGCGCAGAAGGAACGAGTCAACCAGATGATTGAAGATAAGGAGCCTTTTGAAGGAGAGGCTTTGTTGGATGCCAAATGCTTCAAGTGAGGTAAAATGTTGTGCTTTGCAATTCTCATCTCCTTTTTGGGTCATAAGAAAATAAAAGCTCAAGTTGCAACCTGAACAGAATTTAACCGATTAGGTTTCTATATCCTTTTTTTCCCCGTCTCATCGCCACTTGTTGCAAACCCTCCCTCCTCCCTCTTTGCTAATTCAATTCTTGCTAGATTTTACAAACTCCATTGCAATTTCTCATCATTCTTGTATATGAAATTCTTGTATGATTTCATTTGAGCTTTTTTTTCAAATCACATCAGAAATTATTGATGGATCACTTCCAAATGCATAAAAATGCACAATAATGTTCATTTGATAACAAAAAGTTCGCGCCCTTCTTTGCTGACTTCGCAATGACAGATTCTTGCTTTAGGATAGGGCTTTATCGGCCTCAAATGAAGTCAATAATTTGTCTCCATAATTTCTGCAATTTTATCACTCTCTTGGAGTCACAACTATAGCATTTCCAACATTTTGATTGATCTTTTTCAAACTGAGTCCTCAACTAATTTCATAGATCACCTTTCTCATACTAGAAATAGTTTTGTCACTCAACTAATTTCTCGAAAATTTTCCTTATCATTTCATGATGGAAAATGTCGCTCACCAAAGTGGGTAAAACAACTAGAGTTTCCCGATTATTAAGAGCAAGTACCTTATCATTTCAACTTCACTAGATATTGTAGCATCTAACTTTTTGTCCTATTCTTTTGATTCCCAATAAAATTGGTCAGGAATTTCATATTTCTTGACATTTAAATAATACATTGATAAGTTTAATAAAAAATGACTAATAAAATTCTAAAAAGAAAAATTATTATTATTATTATTTTGGCCTTTTCTGTGTTTTCTTCTTCTCTCTTAACCACCACACATATCTCCACAATAGCTCAATTGGGAAAGCCGTAGTAATTAATAAAGTAACAAAATTAATGCAATTGTCAAAGTAGAAAGTAATTTGCTAATAAAAATATTAAAAAAAAAAAAAAGTAGGAAGAAAAGAAACAATCATAAAGTAGTTGTGTTTGAATACATCTAAGTTGGGTACATACGAAACTTTCTCGGTACACTTTCAAACACCACCTTCACCAACTTCAAGTTGACCCCATCCGTACACTTTCAAATCATTCAATTTGGTTAGATTTGACATGGCTTTTTTTTAGGGTAATTTTTTCAAATTTATGCACGGACATAATTCCAATGTCTCCAAGGATGTAACATTTCTCGTCCATTCTGGCAAATATTTAACGCCATTACAATTCTCAATGCTCAACGATCTTAAAATAGTGAGGAGCTCAAGTTGTCGAGGAGGTTGTGTTAAACTATTAGTTCCTGTTTCATGCAACTCAATAACTTCATGTGAATTGAAGGGTATGAATGGACTCCCATCATAACCCTTCATTGGCCCTTTAATTGCCAAAAATTTCAAGTTATGAATACCACCCACCCCTTTGGCAAGCTTTGAGATTCTTGATGAAGACCAGCTTTGGATATTTTTGAAATTTGGAGAGGAAATATGATTACCAAAATAGCATATCTAACACATTTTTGAGCTGAATTCTAACCAATTTGATAGCTTTATCAAACTTTTACAATTATAAATGTGGAGAGATGGAAGTTTGGGAGGATTTTGAAAGCTTAAAAATAACCCTGCATTAATGGCTTTACTTCCAACCTCTCAATGTGCCTCAAACAAGATTCAATCATTAAGCTTTCTAAACGAGGAAAAGTTGTACAATTTGACACAGTAGCAATTACTTTTTAAATCACTTAGCTCACAAATTTCAAGAAACTCAAGTTTGGACAACTGTCCCAAAATTGGTTAAGTTTCACATCTTTTGCAACCAAAAAGACGTAGCTCAACCAAGTTTTCAACAAAAATACCATTGGGTATAAGTTTACTGCCAAATCCATGGATCCTCAATGCTTGAAGGTTTTTGTGTGGTTGAAGCCCTTCCAACACGTTCAAATCATTGTCATCACAGTCTTCTCTTTCAAGACTCCATTTAAAATATAGATCAGACATATTTTCCTTCTCTACTAAATTTGCAGCGATGACCTCATGTTTACTTTTGACTTGCTCGAGATATAAAAACCATAATTTACCTTTAAGGTTTTTTTAAAGGTCTAAGCTCCTCAATCTTACATCCATCATCATACCCAACTATAAAACCAGAAAGCGTTTGAAGTTGTGTCATTCGACTTAAATGTTTAGGCATTTGCTTAGTTCGATTTGAATAATACAAATCAAATTCTAAACGCCTTAAGTTCACCAACTTTCTCAATTCTGTAGGAAGCTTTACATCCCATCCAAGCTTCAAAGTCTACAAATTGTAAAGCAAAACGATAGATTTTGGAAGTTTACTTATTCGAGACTTTGAAATGTCAAAATACCTCAAATGCTTCAATTTAACGATTGTATCTGGCAGTTCAGTTATGTACCCATTATCAATAATTAAAATGCGCAAGTAGATGAAGTTGGTGATCATATCTTGATTACCACAGAGTGTATATTTTTACAACAATAAACTATCATTCTTCTTGACGTATCGAAAGAACTTCATCATCTTGAGATTTTCCATCTGTTTCAAAGTCCTCTCTCAAATTTTGATCATTTGAAATAACACATGCGACTTCAGGTATATGATCATGCATCTTACAATATATAATTTTTCCTCTCTCATCCTTGGCAACATCCTGAAACAAGGAGCGAGACAACAAAATATCGAAATAGCTCTGAACGATAGGCAAATCATTGTTTCAACGAGGAAGATGGTAGATGGTCCACACTTAACTTGATTGTGGATAAAATAAGATTTTCCTTTAGTAATGCAACTCTCTAGATTTTCCAAATTCGATTGCAATTCCTCGTCGTTTTGGCATGATTTCACCATTCCTCCCAACACTTTCACAACCAATGATATGCCACCAATTTTTTTAACAAGTTGTCCTCGAATGACACCAAGAATTATTGGTAAGTCATTTTCAAATGCACATTTTTCAAATAAAGACCAACAATGACCATCTAGTAACTGTCTCATATGACGTCGGTAATTTTTCTCCATAATTTCTACAACTTCATCACTTTTGATAGTCACAACTATAGCATTTCCCTTATTTTGATTGATCTTTAGCAAACAAGCTCTCTACTCATTCCATCGATCAGGTTTCTGATACCAAACATGATCAAGCACAAGAAAATAATTTTTGTCACTCAACAATTTTTTGAGCTCTAGAAGAATGACTTCTCTTTCATCGAGCCACAAAAGGTTGGATTCGAGGATCCCACGATTACTCTTAAAATTTTGTTGATTTTAAAAGGAGCATACACAAATACCCATATGGTTTTATCGAAATTCTTCCTTATCATATCATGATGGAAAACCTCCATGAGAGTTGTTTTTCCTAATTCACTTTTCCTAATTCACTTGTACCAACAATGGGTAAAACAACTAGAGCTTCTTGATTATCTTTCAATAACTCTAATTGCATTAGGAAAGGAGTCCGTCTCTAGAACTTGGTTAAGATCAATTTTAGCCTTAAGGACTTTTTGTAGAAACTAGCTCATCAACTTTTTAGCGACGGTTGTGATTTTATTTGCCATTTTGAGATGAAAAGCAAGTGGATTTTTGGAGAATGAAAAGAAATTACGTACCTTATGATCTTTCTCGATTCACACTTTACATCTAACGTCTTCATCAGCAAACTCATCAAGTAAAATATCGACTCGAAGACGATATCTTTAAGGTTCTTCACCCATAGCTTCGGAGAGTAAAGGTTTGTCTCATTGTGTGTCAACATCCCTTAGGATTGGCTTGCGCCACGAGTAAAGAATTCTCAAAGTTTGCAATTAAGATGATTTGTGTGCAGCTGAAGCATATAGAAACCTTATCTAACACTTATTGTTTTTGTTTGTTTTTTTTTTAATGCCTCTAGACTGACTATCACATTTAGCAATGCGGCCTCCAAAGAAACCATTGTTCAAACATTTGGAATAAAATTATAATATAACTTAAGCTAATCTAAATATTAAAAAAAAAATACAAATCTAAATATTAAAAAAAATATAAAGAAAAGAAAAAGTAATGTTTTAGAATATATCAATATGGGCTACCTGGGAAAATTTTGCCCGGTCAACTCTCCCTTCACCAAGTTCAAGTTAGGAACTTTGAAACATTGTAAAATTATTTCAATTCAGTAAGATTTGATGGCAAGCTTTTCAAATTTATGCATTTGACTATCACCAATGTGGAGGTCTCCACATAGGTAGTGTTTTCCAAACCTTTTCCAAAAGGTTAACTCCATTATAACAATTTTAAAGTAGTGAGGTGATCAAATTGGTGAAGAAATTGTGTTAAACAATTAGTTTCTGTTTCACACGATATAAGATTTGGAAGCGAATTGAGCGGTATGAATGGACTCTAATCATAATTCTCCATTGGCCCATGAATTTGTAATGTTTTCAAGTGATGAAGGGAAGCAAGCCTCTCGGGCAACTTTTGAATTTCTAGGATGGTCAATTAGGGGTGTACATGGTCCGGGTTGGAGGATTTTTTCGACCCAACCCAAAAGTTCGGGTTGGTTGGATTGGTAACCCAACCCAACCCAAAACTTTTCACGACCCAACCCAACCCAATCCACATATGTACTATTTTCGGGTTGGGTTGTCAATTTTTTTTTTTTTAAAGTTTTATTTATCCACAATTTATAATTATTCGGATACAATCTAAAATATTTTAAAAGTTCACAAACAAACACAAATCGATCTATAATTATTGACAAAAAATAATAATAATAAATTTTAAAAAAACAACGAGCAAAAATTGTAACATAGTTAAACATTGTCATAAAACTAAAGACAATTAAATACCGACATTTTTAAAAAATTAGTTAAAATAACAAAAATACAAGGATAGATCATGAAATTAAGTAAACAATAAAAATGATTAATTTAAGAGTATGGTATATAACAAAAATAAAAAATATATAAAAATATTTTAATTGAAAAATAAATATATATAAATTGTGATATAATGTTTGCAACAAATAAATAATAAATAAATATATTATAATTTAGAATATGTTTTAAAATTATATATATATATATATATATATATAATTCTTAAACCTAGTTATAAATTATAATTAATAAACATTTTTATTTATGTATAAAATTTATTAATAGTGGTATGTTAGTTTATTCTAAAGTGTTTAAAAAATAGTATGATATATTTAGGTATTTTAAAAATATATGTATATAAAAGAAACTAAACCAAGAAATTATAAGAAATTAAAAATAACAAAATAAAAAAAATAATATAAACAAAACAAAGAAATTAAAAATAAAAACAAAAATATGCATCTAAAATATATGTATATAAAAGAAACTAAACAAAGCATATTTGGCCAGGGTCAAATTTAGACGTGAGTGTCCTTGAACTGAACTCAACCACTCTGTCAAATCCGTTAATATATTAGTATTCTTAATATATTTCATATATTTTTATTTGTCTCGCGTCAACTCGAAGGTTTTATCCATGAACTCGAAACCGAACCGATTCAGTTCGGGTTCAGAAAAATGAACCCAACCCTACCCGAAATGCTAATCTAACCCAACCCAACCCTTATAGTTCGGGTTGGATTGGTCTGGGTTGTCGGGTTGCCGGGTTGAATGTTCACCCCTATGGTCAATAAAGATAAGTCTCCAAAATTTTGCAAATTTGGAGGGGAAAGATCATCAAAGTAGGCTATGCACAAATCTTCAAGTGAGCAGCAGAGTTCTAACCTGTTTGATAGTTCTGGCAAAATTCTATATACATAAATCTTTAGAGACCGAAGTTTTGGAGGACCTTAAAAGCTTGAAAACATGTTCAGAAATAGATTATCTTGGGACAGGAATTAATAATTAAGCTTTTAAGATAGAGGAAAAGTTGTACAATTTGACACAGCAACAATTTCTTCTCATTGCTCGGGCTTAATTGTGTATGCACGAATTATCAAATCTTTTCAATTTAGGGAATAAAGTTCTGCTATTGCGATAATACCCATGAACTCGTCTTTGATACTTTTTACCGCACTTGGCTCATTAATTTCAAGAACCTCAAGTTTAGTCAATAGTCCAAGCATTGACAAACTTTCACATCTGTTGCAACAGAAAAGACCAAGTTCAACCAAGTTTTCAACAAAAATACCACTAGGAAGAAGTTCACCTGCACAGTTAAAAATACTCGATGCTCGAAGGTTTTTGGGTAGTTGAAGTCCTTCCACATTCAAATCATTGTCATTAGAGTCTTTTCTTTTCTCGCTAGAACTCCAATCAAAACATTGCAGCCATGGCCACCTTTTAAATTTTGACTCGCTCAACACAAAAAATATTCAATTTACCTTTAAGGTATTTTAAAGGTCCAAGCTCATCAATCTTACATTATTCGTCAAATCCAACTACTAAACAAGAAAGCGTTTTAAGTTGAGTCAATGGACTCAATTTCTTAGGCATTTGCTTAGTTCAATAGAAAAAATCCCAATTAAATTCTAAATGCCTTAAATTGACCAACTTTCTCAACTGTGTGGGAAGCTCTATAGTGTTCTCGCGAAACTTCCAGGTTTGCATATTGTAAAGTAAAACAATAGATTCTGGGAGCATATCTATTGAAGACGGTGTAATGTCTAGATACCTCAAATGCTTCAATTTAATGATTCAATCTAGCAATTTACTTATGAAAAATAATTCTAAATTAGAACGCGCAAGTAGATGAAGTTAGTAATCTTATCGCGAATATCAAAAGCTACATTTGTAGTACAATAGAGTGTTCTTTTTTCTTTACTAATCAAAAGATCTTTCTCACCTTGAGATAATTCAACCAAACTCAAATTTTGATCATTCGATATAGCGCATGTGACTTCATGCATCTTACAATGTTCAAATTTTCCTCTCGCATCCTTGACAACATCCTGAAACAATGAGAGAGACAACAAAATATCAAAGTACGTCGCTCCAATATCCTCCATCATTAGATTGCGTTCGTTGGGTAGTTGAATAAACCCTTGTCCTATCCACATTTGAATAAGTTCTTTCTTATAGAAGAGAAAGTCCGGTGGGAAATTTGAACAATAGGCAAAACATTGTTTCAATGAGGAAGATGGTAGACGGTTGACACTTAATTTGATTGGGGATAAAATATGATTTTCATCTTATAATGCAATTTTTGTTCGATCTTCCAAAGTTGATAGCAATCCCTCATAATTCTTGCATGATTTTACCATTCCTCCCAACACTTTCACAACCAATAGTATGCCACCAAATTTTTTAACGGTTCTTCATGAATGACATCAGGAATTATAAAAGGCATATTTTTCAAATAAAGACCAACAATGATCATTTGGTAACGGCCTCAAATGATGCATGTATTTTTTCTCCATAATTTCTGCAACTTTACTACTCCTGGCAGTCACAACTATAGCACTGCCAACATTTTGATTGATATTTAGCAAACAAGTCCTGATATAAACCAAAAGACATCAATCATACAATATACTTCAATGAAGATGTGAAGAAAAGGTTGTCAAAATTATCAAAAGATGTTTCAATTCATGCCACATTCAAGAAGAATGAAGTTTGATTGTTATAAATTTTGGGTGGGTTACAATTTAGAGTTATTGTATTTCATTTATGTATTTTAAAACTTTATTTACTATAGGTTACAATTACATAATAGTTAATTATGGTCATTAAGTATGAATGTTACAACTCTTGTAATGCCTCTAATAGTTTCATTTTGAGGCTATTTAAAGTCATGTATGTTGTAAGTGTAAGAGACTTGAAAAATATAGTAAAAAGAAGCATTTGTGCTCTTCTTTAGCCAATGGCTAAGTTTCTTTACAATTCTACCTAATTTAGGTTGTATGTAGAATCATCCAAGCTCGACATGATCAATCTTGCTTGTGGAGTGATTCGAATCTCAAGCAAGTGTTCTTCCCTTGAGATATTTGATCAACAAGAATCATTCAAGCTAGACGTGATCGATCTTGCTTGTAGAGTGATTCGAATCTCAAATAATGTTCTTGCCTTGAGATATTCGATCAACAAGGTAATCCGAATCTTACTCCCCTTGTAGTGGTTCCTTTTCTTATGAAGTCCTCAACTCATTTTATAGATTGTGATGCTCATTCCACATCATCAAGCACAATAAAATATATTTTGTCTCTAAACAATTTTTTGACAGCATGACTTCCCTTGTATCCGAGCCACCAAAAGTAGCATTTAAAGTTTCCAGTTCTTCTTTATGGAACACCTCCTTCACCAAAGCTATTTTTTCCTAATCTATCTACGTCAGTAAAGTATGTAGAATTTCTTGATTCTTAAGGTCTAGTAACTTATCCACTATATTTCATACTTCAGTTTTCTCCCAATAACTCTAATTTTATCAGGTAAGGAGTCCGTCTCTAAAATTTGGCTAAGATCCGTTCCAGAATCTATGGATGTTGTAGCAATGGATCCCACAAAAGTTTTTGTGAATAACGTGTTGTCTTTTGACAATGGACGTTGGTGAGAAAAGAGTGAAATAAATTTGTGGAAAGAAAATGAAAATAGAAATAGTAAAATTAACCCAAATGTAATTAGTTTAGGATTAGATTCAATTATTTAAATAACTATTCTACCCTAAAAATAGCTCAAAATTGATTTATATATAGTTTTAATATTGATATGAAATGACATCCAACCGTGAATACATTTTAAACGGAGACCGTTTGAAACTCCAAATCATAGCGGCAGACGGACATAAATTGAAGAATAAACGAAAAACTGCATAATTAATGGGGATTGAAGCAACTCGCGATTGCTTTTCAGCGACCAAACCAAAAACTCAAACCATTGAGAGTCCTCGTGCACAATAGGGAACATTACTCCAAATTAGGTTAGAGAATTGATTAAGGGGAGGATGACAAGGTCATCGATTGTTAAATCCATATTCCAATTTTAGTCAGAATGTTGAATATGAGTTGCTATAGATGTGTGCTAAGGATCACTTTTATCTTCATGCACTCGTTTTTTAATCTTGTTAAATTTGACATGCATTTGATTATCACCAATGTCTCCAAATATGTAACGTATTCTTCCAAAGATTCAATAAAAACACTCAATTGCATGATCTGAAATTGTGAACCATGAGTTTTTGGTTCACACATTTAAGATTTTTCAACATTTTTCAAGTGAATTGGAGTGGGAAAGAATTTCAATAATAATAATAATAATTATTAATAAGAAAATTAATACGGTCGTTCAAATACAAGAAATATAACTATTACTTAGGCTAATGAAAACATTAAAGAAAAAAAAAAACAAAACAAAGCACAAACAAACGTAAAATAGTTGTTTTAGAGTACATGGATTCCTTCACCAACTTCAAGTAAGGAACATTTATACACTCTCAAACGATTCAATTTAGTCAGATTTGACATGGCTTTTTTCGAGGGTAAGTTTTTCAAATTTCTGCATCGACATAATTCTAATGTCTCCAAAGATGTAATGTTTCCTAACCATTCTGGTAAAGATTCAATGTCATTAAAATTCTCAATATGCAACGATCTTAAAGCAGTGAGAAGCTCAAGTTGTTGAGGAAGTTGTGTTAAACTATTAGTTCCTGTTTCATGCAACTCAAGAACTTCAAGGAAATTGAAGGGTATGAATCGACTCCAATCATAACGCAACATTGGCCCTTTAATTACCAATGTTTTCAAGTTATGAATACCACAAAGCCCCTCTGGTAAATTATGGAAGTTTTTGATTCCTAATGAAGATAAGTTTTGCATATTTTGCAAATTTGGAGGGGAAATATCCTCACAAAAGTTGCCGATCCACAAATCTTCGAGTGAGCTATAGAATTCTAACCAGCTTGGTAGCTTTATCAAACTTGTACAATTATGAATGTGTAGAGATCGGAGCTTTGGGGTCTAACCAGCTTGGTAGCTTTATCAAACTTGTACAATTATGAATGTGTAGAGATCGGAGCTTTGGGGACTTTGAAAGCTTGAAAAGAACCTTGCATTAATAGTGTCAGCTTCCAACCTCTCCCCATAAGTTGCAAAAATGTTCGGAAAATTCGTTAGTTTTAGACAAAAATGAATGGCTAAACTTTCGAGCATAAGTTGCAAAAATGTTCGGAAAATTCGTTAGTTTTAGACAAAAATGAATGGCTAAACTTTCGAGATGAGGAAAAGCTATACAACTCGAAATAGTAGCAACTTCTTCCCACTCCTCTAAACTCTCCATGTGCAAAATTTCAAATGTCTTCAATTTAGGAAATAAAGTTCTGCTATCGCGATAATTCCCATAAAATTCGTCTCCAATACTTTTTACACCACTTAGCTTACGAATTTCAAGAACCTCAAGTTTAGGCAACTGTCCAATCATTGGTAAAGTTTCACATCTTTTGCAGCCGTATAGAGTTAGCTCAACCAAGTTTTCAACAAAAATACCATTGGGTAGAAGTTCACCTGCAAAATTATGAATCCTCAATGCTTGAAGGCTTTTGTGTGGTTGAAGCCCTTCCAACACATTCAAATCATTCTCACCACGGTCTTCTCTTTCAAAACTCCATTCAAAATATAGATCAGAAATTTTTTCCTTATCTACTAAATTTGCAGTCATGGCCTCCTCTTTACTTTTGACTTGCTCGAGATGTAAAAGGCTAAATTTACCTTTAAGCTCTTTTAAATGTCCAAGCTCCTCAATCTTACATCCGTCATCACACCCAATTAGAAAACCAGAAAGCGTTTGAAGTTGAGTCATTCGACTTAAATGTTTAGGCATTTGCTTATTTTGATGTGAATGAAAAAGATTAAATTCTAAATGCCTCAAATTGACCAACTTTCTCAACTTTGTAGGAAGCTTTATATCCATTCCAAGCTTCAAAGTCCGCAAATGGTAAAGCAAAACAATAGATCTTGGGACAATTCAGTTATAAACCCATAATGAATAATTAAAACGCGCAGGTAGAGAAAGTTGGTGATCATATCTTGATTATCATCAAAGGATAAATTTTCACAATAATAAACTGTTCTTCTTCTTTGGCGGATCGATAAAACTTCGCCACCTTGAGATTCTTCATCTGTTATAAGGTCCCCTCTCAAATTTTGATCATTTGAAATAGCACATGCGACCTCATATATAAGATCATGCATCTTACAATATTTAATTTTTCCTCTTTTGTCCTTGACAACATCTTGAAACAAAGAGCGAGACAATAAAATATCGAAATACCTCACTCCAATATCCTCCGTCGTTACATTGCTTCCATTGGGTAGTTGAATAAACCCTTGTGCTATCCACATTTGAACAAGTGCTTCCTTGTAGAAGCAATAGTCTGGTGGAAAATTTGAACAGTAGGCAAAACATTGTTTCAATGAGGAAGTTGGTAGACGGTCCACGCTTAATTTGATTGTGGATAAAATAAGATCTTCCTTTGGTAATTTAATTCTCACAAGATTTTCCAAAGTCAATTGCAATTCATCATCGTTCTTGCATGATTTCACCATTCCTCCTAACACCAAGATTTTCCAAAGTCAATTGCAATTCATCATCGTTCTTGCATGATTTCACCATTCCTCCTAACACCTTCACAACCAATGGTATGCCACCAAATTTTTTAACAAGCTGTCCTCGAATGATATCAGGAATTATTGGTAAATCGCTTCCAAATGCACATTTTTCAAATAAAGACCAACAATGGTCATCTGGTAACTGCCTCAAATGATGTCTGTAATTTGTCTCCATAATTTCTGCAACTTTATCACTCCTAGTTGTCACAACTATAGCACTTCCAACATTTTGATTGATCTTTAGCAAACAATCCCTTAACTCATTCCATAGAATGTGCTCCTCATTCCAAACGTCATCAAGCACAAGAAAATACTTTTTGACACTCAACAAATTTTGGAGCTCTCGAAGAATGATTTCCCTTTCATCTGAGCCACCAAATGTAGGACTCAATGATCCCATGATTGCTCTTAAAATTTTGTTGATTTTAAAAGGATCAGACACACATACCCATATAAATGTATCAAAACTCTTCCTTATCATATCATGATGGAAAACCTCCTTCACAAGAGTTGTTTTTCCTAATCCACCCGTACCAACAATGGGTAAAACAACTAGAGTTTCTTGATTCTTAAAGGCAAGTAGCTTATCTACTATATTTGATACTTCACTTTTCCTCCCAATAACTTCAATTTCATCCAGAAATGAGTCCGTCTCTCGAACTTGGTTTAGATCAATCTCTGCTTCATTGGATGTTATAGCAACACATCCCAAAGGACTTTTGGTAGAAACTAGCTCATCCAACTTTTTAGCAACACTTGTGGTTTTATTTGCCATTTTGAGACGAAAAGCAAGGAAATTTTTAGAGAAGGAAAAGAAATTACGTACCCTCAGATCTTTCTCGATTTCCACTTTGCGTCGAATGTTTTCATAAGCAAGCTCATCGAGTAAAATATCGGCTTCGAAGACGATATGTTCAAGGTTCTTCACCCATAGCTTGACGGAGTCAAGATCTGGGTTCATTCTATGAACATCCCTTAGGATGGCTTGCGCCATGAGTAGAGAGTCCTTCAGCTTTGAGAGTTCCTCCTCGAATCCCCATGCCAGACTGATCTGCTCAGCCGCCAGCTTCACCGTCTTCTTCAACACTTCTTGTACAGCAAACGTCCACAGGAATTCCGCCATGGTTCTGTTCTCAAAGGTCAACAACAGTTTGCGAGGATTTGCGTGCTATGCTACATTTAACAACTTGGACTCCAACCAACCTGTAAGCACAATAATTGATGTTTGAAAAATGTGAAACCCTTTGCTTTTCCTATCTTATTTTATTTATTCAGTCTTCAATTTTTTATTTTTCTCCTTGGCTCCACGTTTGAATCATCAAAATAAGTCCATTTCTCGCACTAAATCTTTGGATCTTCAACTTATAAAAATGTCTATGACACATCTCATAATTTTATATTTAATTTTGGTTTGGTTGACTTTATTATTATTATTATATATATATATATTTTTTTTTTTTTTGCATTTTCTTATTTTATTTTATTTGTTTATTTTTGTTTTCGCCTTTTTAGTCTCGATCTGAACTCTGAAGTCTCGAAATAGTTGAATTTTAAGTGGTTTATTAGTTGAATCATGAACATCTTTCTAACCTAGTTTTGTTGAATCTTATGAGGCATGCTAATTGGTTCCGAACAAATTTATTACAAAATGGGAATCGAGGAATGAGATACAAATTTAAAAGAACCAAAAAACTCTAATATACTGGATTGATGGTCCGAGATGACCCCTTCTAAGTAACTTCCAATTCTCCCCAACTATAGTGAAACAGAAATTTAGCACCAACTTATAAATAATAATTATAAATGTCACCCCTCATTTCCTCGAATCAATTTCAATTACAATTAAGATAAACTCATTGACCCAAAAAATAAAATAAGAAAGAAAGGAAAAAAAATTGAAAAATTAGAGTGCTTAATTGATTTTCACGAATCAAATGATATATTTGGATTTTTTTTTTTATAACAAAAATATGTTTGTTTCTCTTTAGATTTTTTATTTTCTTATTTTTTAAAAAATATTTTTAAGCAATACATAAGTTTCAACCATTGAAAAAAAGAATATAAAAACTTCAATTCAATTATTTTATAGAATGAAGTCATACATATTAAAAAAAATACAATTGTCATGACCCGATTTTAGAGGCTGACTTGGATTAACATTAAAAAAATATATAAAACTCTATGCAATTTAAAATCGAACAATTTTATATTTAAAAGAAAATTCAAAATTCATAACAAGAAAACGGTTCTAAATTTGTTACAAAATGGAACTAGGGAATGACATACAAATCTAAAAGAACTAAAAATTCCAATACACATGATGGACGGCCCGAGATGACCATCTTCCATGACACCGTAGCTCCCAAGTACTCCCCTACCTTAATGAGTTTTTCACCCTTACCAGGATTATAAAAATGGTAAATTTAACTCTTGTATTAAGAAAATTTGAACAAGCTTTTTTTTTTTTTCATATTTAGTTAGAAAAATTAAAGCACATCTCAAACCAACCATTTTTCTTTTTTCTTTTACTTTGAGACTTCGTGACAAGACCTCGTTGATTAAATGATTACGATGGTTCTCTCTGAAAATCGAATTTTTTATGGTATAATGTCATTGTGAGTAGTAGAATGCGATTAAGGATGACAGAGACTATTGTTGGGTGGATAACTCACCATATATTGTGTTCCCAAACTTTCATCGCCTTCCCCTTCAAAGTCTGAGTGGTATTGATTTACTCGAAAAGAAAAAAAAAATGAATTTTTAATTTGCAACCACATATTTAGAGGAGTGATGACACGCTACGAGAATACTTTGAGAATACTTTGAGATAACTATGGCATGGAGCCTTCCGAATGTGATAAAGAAGAAGAGTCTTTTAAGATTTATGTTCTAAAGTCTGTGTAATAATTATTTAATTTTAAAAATAATTGATTATTTGGTAGTGGTAATCTATTCATTTTTTATTTTGAAACTCCTACATCTCCCTCTATACCTACTATGGTTCAAACCTACGCATAGAGGGTTGCTTAAGCAACCAATTCATCCTATTGGCCAGCAAAGTTATGATACTATTTTGGTGGGTAATTGCTCGTGTGCATCAAGGTGTTCCATAGTTTGTTAGTCCTCTCTTTCATGGCGTTGCATTACCTTTAGACACCTGAGGAAAGGGGATTTTCGTTTCACCAACGTTTATGTCCGGCGAGGTAGACCGCTCATATTCCATCGTTTTCTTTCTAATATCCCCTTTCCTTTTCTTGTAGGTGAGCTTATGACGAGTAGTGGTGCATGAGGAACATTTGAGAATTACTCGTAGTTCGTTGGATGTCTTTTGGTGAGTTTGAGAATTCTCAATCTGCCGGCGACCAAGAAGAAAAATGTAATTCAAGAGGGGTCACAATTACTCATATTTTAGATCTTCATTTTCTTTTACGAAGGGTAATAATTTGGTTGCAATTATTTAATTTGAATTAAAAATTAAATGCAAAAAAAATTCTGTAAGTTTTAGGAATCTGTGGTTTAGATAAAAAATTATGTATATGTTTATCAGAATCCAATGAATATAGCCTAAGGTAATGTGGTTGTATACTATTAGTGCTTGATGCTTGATGTGAATATGGACAAATACCATGTTGTAGATATAGATGAGTACTATCTTTTAATTATAACAAACCAATATTTTTATTTACCTAAATAATTTTCAAATGTATTAAGAAATCATAGTATAGGTTTAATAAAATCTAAAAACCTACCGTTTAAATATGTCGAAATATTTCTTTTTCTTCAATAATTGGATTACAAAGTGGTTGATATTTGCAGTCATTTTGTTTTAATTTATATTATCAAGATATGAATCTAAAGTTGAGTTGGACCTTCAAATTAAGGTTGGTACCAAGAATAACTAATAACTCTAACTTAGGTCAACCAAGTAATTGATTTCAGTATTGGTTTGGTTGGAAAAATTGCTTTTATGTAGGATGGCACGGCTCTATGGCCCTTGCACATGTTATATATGTGATATGCTTTGATATGTGATGGTATGTTATGTTACTGATAAGAATCAACCGAAAGTTCGTCTACCAAATGATAAGGAATCACAAGAAAAGTAAGATTCAAATTACCTGGTTGATCGAATATCTCAAGTTAAGAACACTTGTTTAAAATTTGAATCACTCCATAAACAAGATCGATCATGTCAAACTTGAATGATTCTAAACATGTTATTTAAACTACATAGAATTGTAAAAAAATTTAGTCATTGCCTAAAGGAAAAGGTAAGAACACTTAGCCCTAATGATAAGAAATCACTCCAAAGAAAAATAAGATTCGAATTAACTTGTTGATCGAATTTCTCAAATCAAGAACACTTGTTTGAGATTTGAATCACTCTATAAATAAGATCAATCAAGTCTAGCTTTAATGATTCTATACATGCAATCTAAACTACATATAATTGCGGAAAAAACTTAGCCATTGGCTAGAATAAAACAAATGCTTTTCTTATGCATTTTTCTATACAAAGAAAATATACATGGCTTTATATAGCCTCAAAATAAAAACCCCTAGCTTTTTATTACCATCTCAAGGTAACATTCATATTTTATTATCATAATTAGTCACGGTGTAAATCTAATCTTAGTAAATCAAAGCCTTAAGATATATAACTCTATATCATCATCTACCCAAAATTTGTAACCAACCAAAAATAATTGAAGCTTGATTTTTTTAAAATGGAGCATGAATTACAACATCTTTTGATAATTTGAACAACATTTTCTTTCACATCTTCCTTGAAGTTTATCTTGCATGTACAACCTCCCTATGCTGTGTTCGAGAAGCTGTGTTATGTATGAAATAATGTATAAGAACTATATGCGCATAATTACCGGATTTAATATGTTATGAAAGAATCGAGGTTTGTCTTGCATTATGTCATGATGGAAAGTATGAATATCTTATGCATAATTTTGTGTTCACATGCATCAGGATACTTCTCCATTAATGATACGGACACATACACTATGAGACTCATTATGACAATTATGTTTGTCATGATGATACGACGGCCGCTATTCCCTCCAAGTGTCTGGTGTCACGATCGTACTTTTTCAGCTGTACAGTATCGTGATCTTGACACGTTCACAACCCGACTTAAGAAAAACTTAAATTCCATATTCATTTTTTGTGTTGACTTTGTGGGGTCGGGAGTATCCTCCCAAGTAACATCTGGAAGTAGGCAAAGTTCACTCAAATCTCTGCTCTTCATTCTCAATTTCTCAACCACTTCCTTTCAATCTAACCTCTCTCATTAAAAATAGGATACGCCCAATAAAAATGGTAGACTTTGAGGTGTATAAAAGACAGCCAAGAGATTGGATTCGAAGGGAGTTTGGATTTCTAGATTTCTTCCAAAAGCTTTGCTAGTTTCTCTCAAATTCAGGAGCTATCATTTTGAGTTTCCCTTGGTGCTATTCAAACTCTATTTGAACACTATACTTAAAGAAAAGGTGTAAATACTTGATTTTCCATGAAATCACCATGCACACTCGTATTGACCATCTTGTTTTGCACCACTTCTATTTTGCTTCTTTTGGAGTTCATTGCATTATCCATCATTGATATGTATCAATTTTCATTTCTTTCTTTTCTTTCTTTATGAGATCCCACATCAGTTGGGGAGGAAAACAAACATCCTTTAGAAGGGTGTTGAAGCCTCTCCCTAGGAGACGCGTTTTAAAACCTTGAGGGGAAGCCGAAAGAGGATACGCGTTTTAAAACCTTGAGGGGAAGCCGAAAGAGGATACGCGTTTTAAAACCTTGAGGGGAAGCCGAAAGAGGATAATATCTACTAGTAGTGGGCTTAGACCGTTACATTATGAAATCAAATAGGTATGGTTGAGAAAATTAATCTCGATGATTGGGCTTAGACCGTTACACTAACTATGAAATCAAATAGGTATGGTTGAGAAAATTAATCTCGATGATTGTAACACCCCGAGCCCAACAGGTACAATTCAACTATCCTTATGACTATCATCTTCTTAACCATGGTGAGTTTCTAGATTTTATTGGAGGTCTTAGAGCACTATCCTTATGACTATCATCTTCTTAACCATGGTGAGTTTCTAGATTT